GGAAGAAGAGGGTAGAATTTAGTGGGCCACGTTACGTGGGTCAGCCCGTGGCGTGCGGCAGGTGGCCTTTCTCAGCAGCCATCCCCCACTCAGACACCCCTTCTCCAGAGTCCCGGGGCCCACATGGGCAAGCCCAAAACGCCTCCCACCAAGTGCCTCCTGCTCTTGGGACCGATGTGCCCACCTGTGATACCAGGGAGTGGACTCGATGGCACCCAAGGACACTCCAGCTCTCCTGGGTTTACAGTCCTAAGACTGTCTCCTGGGGGCCCCTCTCAGACGGCAGGAAGACAAAGGCCAGCATGCCCTGCCCACAAATCCTGGGCCAACCCACAGGTACCTGTTCGGAGCGGTTCATGCAATTCCGGGCTTCATGCTCCACAAGATTCTCCTTCCGAAAGTAACACTTTCCACATTTGGGACACTCGAAGGGTTTCTCCCCAGTGTGTTTCCTGCCAGGAAAAGGCACAGAGGGTGTGGGGCCTGAGCGACTTCCCACCGCTCCCGCACCCAGCGCCCCTCCGGCTCCCCCACCAGCAGTGCTGGGCTCCACAGCAGAGAGGAACAGTCCTGGCCACGGCTCCCCACTTGGCTTGGTCAGACCTGGCTGACGAAGCCACACAGGTGCGCCCAGAAGCCCTCCCCCTCACGGGAGCCTGCAGAGCTGCACGCGGAGGGGCCCTGCAGAGCCACACGGGCCCAGCTGGCTAGTATCTCGCCAAAGAAATAATCCCTGGGTCCCGACTCCCCAGAGAAACCGCACAGTCCGCCTCAGCTTCTGTGGGCTTTGCCATCACGACCACACCCAGAACCGACCGCTTCGCCTGGCCTCCACTCCTACCGCGTAGTGCGGCCGGGCCATCCCCTGCCCGTGCCATCCCCTGCCCGGCTGCCTGAGCCCCGTCTCGTGTGGTGCTCCATGCCTGCCTCGACACAGTGAACTCCAGCCTCCAGGGTGACCCTGAGACGTAGTCAGACCTCAGCGCCCCTTTGCTCCCAACCCTGCAACACTGCCCATTTCACCCCAAGGAAAGGCCTGGCACCTAGGAGGCACAGCCCGCCAGCCCCCTACATCGCTCCCCAGCTCTGGCCTCCCTGATGTTTGCCGACCCACGCGCTCACTCTAGGGCCTCTGCTCTGGCCCCCCTCGACCCCCAACACTCCCCGCAGCCACTCTCTTGGTGAAGGTCCCACCTCCTTTGAGTCTCCTCCAAATTCCTTTCTTTAAAGCCGCACCACCACCTCACCCTGAACTCCCCGACCTCTGGGCAGGGCTCTGCCCCGGCTTTCTTCTGTGGCACTTCCCATCCTCCACCACACGGTCAAGTTGGCATCTGTCAGTTCCAGTCCGCGTGGCCCTGCTGAGAGGCAGGCGCCCTAACGCCTCTGCTGTATTCGCTAAGCTACCCCCAAGCACGCACAACAGGCTTGTCAGCCACCAGCAGAACGAACGAGCTAACGAACCGTGACCTCACAGCACCTGAGCGCCCCGGGAGTGCTCTCACCAGTTCTCCGAGGCCAGATGGTTCTCTCCTCTGCCCCTCCACGGACTGTCCTCGTCCCAGTGACCTCGCGAGGGCATCATCCCTTCCCAGGTCTCAAGGCCAGTCCAGGAGCCTGCAGCCCAAGGTAGGGATGGGGACGGTGCCTGCCCCCAAGCCTCCCGCGGGGGGAGCATCAGGCAGATGTGGACCAACCCAGGGGGCCTCCCACACCGGCACTTCCCCAGACCCCAGTGGCCGCAGCTGCCCCACAGCAGAGCGAGCAATCCTCAGCTGGCAACGACTCCAGCTCGTCCCCGCCGGCTTCCCAGAGCGCCACGCTGAGAAAGCGTGTGTGGCCCAACCTGGCCTGGCAAGAAATCAGCCTCGGACTATGAGACGGCAGGTCTAGAAAGCACGTCTCTTAGCGGCCACCCCTGGAGGCCTCGAGGAGACCTGGAGCAGGGCTGTCAAGAAACCTGTGACCATGGAAACGTTCTGTCTGTGCTCAGTCAGCAGCCAGGGCCCCCCCCAACTCCGGAGCACTTGAAATGTGGCCAGTGCGTCTAAGAAACGGAACTCATTTTCACTTGTACTGTGAGCTAGCATAGCTTCATACGGCCTCTCGCTACCTTTCCAGACAACACAGGTGTAAGCAAACGACCATTTCCCCAGAATCACAGGAGGCACCAACCCTAAAGACTGACATCTTGGCCCAAAGCCCACATTGCCAGGCTTCAGAAATACAGCACAAGGCCATGAGCTTCTCTCATCCCCTTAGAAGGCAGCTACAGGTCACGGTCCACAGTGGGTGGGACTTATTAACAAGTGTGCAAACACCCGCTCGGAGTAGGAGAAGGAGAAAGAAGAAATCCGACCCCAGGCCCGGTTCTCACTCCCAGATGAGGAGAGGCAGGCGGACATCGGGCACTACGTGAATCTGCAACGGAGCCCCCGGCCCCCACAAGGCCCAGAAGAGTGCAGTGTGGGCCCCTCCCCTACCAAGAGAATAGCGGACAGGAAAAGAAAATTAAAAAACAGACCGTTTACCTGTTGTGGACTTTTAGGTAATATTTGCTGAGGAACTTTTTATGACACGTGGGGCATTCAACTGGCACCGCTGTGCCTTTCCTGTTCTCAGCGGGCTCTGCTACCAGGGAACCTGCGCTCAGGGCTGGCTCAGCAGCACACGGCTTTCTGATCACGTTTGATTTCCTCCTGGTTGGCAAGGTCTCAGTCTCTGAAACGTAATCACCATCCCCGTCGTCCTCAACTTGAACCACCACTTCCCACTAGAGCAGAAAAGGCAGCAGGAAGCGAGGTCACCAAATTAATCAGCGGGAGTTCTGGGGACAGATGTCCAGGGCAGCCAGCGCCATCCAGTTCCATCCCAAGGCCTAACCCACACACATTCCCTTTATCGGTGACTGCTCCCATCAGGGTCCTAAGGCAGGTCACGTCGGAATCTTGGATTTGGAGAGCAGCGGCTCTCTCTGTGGGGAGCTGGAAGTCGGGCCGGATTTCACCACTGTCGGGAAACCCCTGTAACCCTGAGGCCAGCTCTCCAATCCCAAGAGGCTGCCAGTCCTCGACAGCTGTGACGCATAAAAAGGTCAGCCTGAGGCTGCGACTAGAGCCAGATTCCTAGGTTCAAAGAAAACCTATTCCAGACCCACATAACTAAGATTCTACCTTGGGGTCCAGATTACCCCAGAAGAGCGTCAATCTCTTCCCGCTGACTCCCACCTCCCCATTCCCAGCACCCTGGGCACAATACCTCATTATTCCCGCTCTGCAGCTGAACACCTTCAGCCTCAAAGGGCCTTGGGGGGACTTTGCAATCCTCGGGCTCCTTGTCCTCTGAGGAACAAAGCTTTAAGGTCGGTTTGAGTTTCCCACGGTGAAAGGAGGGGCTCTCGCTGTGGGCAGGGACAGCAAGCTGGGGCCTCTCGGGGCTGTGATTGCCACTGATCTCCTGGTCCCTGGGGACCTGACCCAGCGCCTTCGAAACGTCGTCCTCCTCCAAGCCTGCCGGCTCCTTGAGGTGGCTGTTCACATTCCGGGGGCCGGGCTTCCCCAGCCCGCTCTGGCCACTCGCTGCCTGCCCCACTGAGGTTTTGGGCTTGAAACTCTGGCACAGCTCCACAGCCTCTGGCACTCGCAACTCCCTGGCTGCCAAGAGCACCTGATCCCGGTTCCCTGAGGTGAGAGCAAGGTGACCAGTATAGAAGAAGTCCAACAGGAGACCAAAGATCTCCGCGAAGCCGGCAGGGAGGACAACGCTGCCCCCTGAGCCATCCCCATAGAGGCTCTGGAAGAAGTGGCTGCAGCAGGCCAGGACACTCCAGTGGGCCTTGAACACCAGGCCCCCCACATCCAGGGTGGCATCGCAGTACTGGCCCTTCTCCCGCTGCTTGTTGAGCTCCTGCAGAACCCTCACGCTGTGCTGGATGAAGGAGCCATCCATGGTCTGTCTAGAGGACAGGAAGGCAAAAGTGACACAGTGGCGGCCCATCCCAGCAGTAGCGAGGGAAAGGGGGAAAGGGGAGGCGCACTCTGCTCAACCAGTCAACATCGATCCCAGCGAGGGCCTAGGTCAAGGTTAGAGCGTGCCAGCTTAGCCAGGAATGGGGTGCACGCCTCCTGGGGGTGGGGGCCCGGCGAGCCGCCCACACTGGGTAGGCCAGAGACCACAGGGGGCGGAAGCATGGCTTGGCGGGGGCCAGGACGGGCGTGAGGAGGTGCGGGTGGGAGGAATCAGTGTGGGAAAAGAATCGGGGGATCGGCGCGAAGTGACCAGCCTGGCACGGCCAGAGGACCCGTGGCAGGGGAGGGCTGCGGGGGCGGACAGGTGAGCAGAACCCACGGCGCGCCCACACGTCCCGGGAGGCCGGGCGGAAGGCGGCCACGGCGGCCCGCAGCTCTTCCCTCCCTCGCCCCGTTCCCCCCGACCTCCTCACCCCGGCCCGTGCTCCCCGCGTCGGCTCCACCGACCCCGGACCTCGTCGTCTCCACAGCACCCCTGACCAACTGCCCAGACCTTACGTGCACGGCCGACCGTACGGAGACGCCGCCGTCGCCGCCGCAGGACGTGACGTCAGGGCGCGCCGGACGGAGCGAAAGACCCAGAGGCGCAGGGCTTTGGCCCCGCCCTCGGGGCGAGGCCAGGCAGAGAACGGCCAATGGGGTGGGGCGAGAGGGCCGGGCCCAGTTCTCTCGGCGTCGGGCTCGCCTCCCGGAGTTGCTTGGCAACGCCCAGCTGGGCGCAGGCTCTTCGCCCGGCTCTGGCTGCGTCCGGGGGTTCCGGCTGCGGTTGGGCCCAGCCGCGGCCTCGACCTGGGGGTGGTAGCGCCCCACCCTCGCCCCAGACAGCAAGCGCAGCCGGGACGCACATTTCACCGCTTTATTGGCAGCCCGGAGCCTGGGCTGGACTCCGCGAGCGTACACCTTGCTGGTCTCGGGGCCTCCCGGAGAGCGCAGGGCACGCGCGCCTAGCTCGCCCCGCGACCCCCGAGCGGGAGGAGGTGTCAGGCCCGCCCCTTACCCCCATCCCTGGGCTGGCCCTGCCCGCCTCCGCGGTCAGGTGGAGCCGCAGCGCCGCGTGTAGTCCTGGATGGAGGCCTGGAAGTGCTCCGCGCTGTTGAGCTCTGGGCGGCGAAGGATCACGTAGCACTTGGGGAGGAAATAACCGCCGAAGCCGCTGCTCAGGCTGCTCAGCGCCGCCAGCACGTGGACCGCGGGCAGATACTTGCCCTGGTAGACGCTGGCCGTTGTGAAGAAGCCGATCCAGGCCACGAAGTTGAGGAGCAGGCTGAAGGTGACGCATTTGGCCTCATTGTAGTTCTCTGGCAGGTCCTTGCCCAGGTAGCTGCAGGCAAAGGCGCTGACGGACAGGAGGCCATTGTAGGCGAAAGCCAACATGAAGCCCACTGAGGTGGCCTCTGTGCAGTCGAGCACCACCAGCTGAGGGAAGCGCTGGTACTCCCTGGTGGGCCGCGGGGTCCACACCGCAAGCCAAGTCAGACAGATGAGCAGCTGGGCCACTGAACTGGTGCCCACAAATAGGCTGGGACCACGGTTTCGAACCCAGGCGTGGTAGAAGGTGGGTACCTTGGCAGAAAACTTGAAGATAAAGACCAGTTGGAAGGAGCGGATTGTCAGGCAGGACAGGAAGATGGCAAAACCGAGGGCGAAGAGGCCTTGGCGCAGCAAGCATGTGGGCAGGGTGGGCTCCCCAAAGAAGCCATAGAGCCCACAGCTGCCCCCTGCCAGGGAGCCCAGCATGAAGAAGCAGAGCCTGCCCCCAGCTGACCTCACCACGGGGGTCTCTAAATGCCAGGCAAACAGACCAGCAGTCCCAGTCACCAGCACCAGGAACAGCGAATTAGCTGCCAGCAGCACCTGAGAGATCGGTTCACGCCAAGTCAAGAACACCACGGTGCGTGGGAAGCAGGTTTCACTTCCCTCAGGTGCCCATTCTTCTTTCCCACAAGGCTGGCAGCTGTGGAGGTCTGGAAGGAAAGCCAGAAGGCTCCTGAGAGCTAGATGAGCAGAACAGGAGTGAGGAAGGGAGGCCACATAGGCCTGCTGGGTGCTGGGAGGGCTGTCCCACAGGAGCTGGGCGCTACTGGGCACGGTGAGATAGATGGGGGTGGCCCTGGGTGTGGTCCCCAGGCCAAGTGTTTCTTCAAGATGCCTGTATGAATTACAGATTCGGGAGATGCTTGGGTAGGTTCTAACTAGCTCATGAACCCCTGGGCTTGGAAACCAAGAGGTCCTTAGGGAGAACCTCACTCTGGGGACTCTGCCCACATGCCAGTGAGGCTATGATCCCATAGGAGCAGTCAGCCCTGGAGAAAGGGCATTTTCATCCCTCCCCAGCACTTCCCTTAACCAAATCCACCTTCCTGTGCTGCCACTCTGTGGTTTCTCTGACTCTGAGAACAGAAGAGACACATTTCCATGCCCACAGACATGTGAAAGGAAAGAATGTGGCTCATGGATCCAGCTCTGGGCTGAGCCCTTAGCTACCCCAATTTGCTCTCTGATCTTGACCTTCCATCGCTGGGTGGAATACGTTGATTCTTCAGCTGCAGATACAACAGTGTCCGCATTCAGGCCAAGCTGTTCAAGGTGCTGACTGTCTTCAGCATGGGCAATGGAAGGGACTTTGCACAGGTAGCATGGGAGGGTCCAAGGGAACATAGCTACATCTGTTTGCATAAAGACGTTGAATTTAGGATAAAATTGCTCCTGTAGGAGTTGGGCTGGGAGCTCTCTAGTAAAAGGCATGGTGGGTCTGAGGACTTCAACTGCTTGTTTCTTTCTGCTTCCTCGGAATTCAGTCTGGTGGCAGGTGTTCTCCGTCCCACACCTGATTGGCAGCGAAGTGAGCAAGGCCCGGTTTTGCACATGTGTGACCCAAGGGGGATCCCCTCGTCTGCTCTACAGACCCTAGGAGTGCCCAGGCACCGCCCACTCTCTTGGGTACTCACCACTCTTGTTGAGGAAGGTCCCAGCCTCACAAGGCACACACTCAAAGCAGCAGTGGTGGAAACCCACAATGACTCGCTGGTGCCCTTCAAGACAGTCGCTGGAGCACACGGACTTAGGCACCTGCAAGAAGGCACAGGTGTTTTTAACCATACAGAGTGGCTCAGGTGAAGGGGCGCTCACATGTAGAGTGGGCAATGGTCTCTGTGCATCTGTTTTCACTGCTCACTCCCAGGGCAGAGCCCCTGGTTTTGTAAACCAGCAGCAGTCAACCACCTGGGTATTGCCTGGGGGGCTGCCCTGGCAGGGCTGGATAGAGCCTTGTCGGCCTAGTACCTGGGATCCCCCTCCTGCTCTTTGTAAGCTGTGTCCAGAGCATCCCCAGGCTCCAGGCTGCCCATAAGGCAGTCCCCTGGTGCGGGACCATACCTCTTACCTGGTTGTCCTTTCCGTGCCACCGGATTTTGGTTTCGTTTATGTCCAGCTGAACTGGAGGCCCTGTGGAGGAGCCAATGACCCTGAAGGTCCACTTGGAGCCACTCCAGTCCCAGGCAATTATGTCATAGCTGCTGAGAGGGTCCCCGTTGTCATTAAATATAACATTATCCTCGTGTAGAAGGAAATTCACTTTGCGGATCTGTTCCAGAAGCTGAAATAAACAGGGATCAGGGAGCTGCCCTAGATGGCAAAAACTGTTCCTTCTCAGTCGCCCAGACCTAGAAGGCTCAGGAAGCAAGTGCCTGGGGCCTTGTGCTTCTATTGAGGTGGTTTCCGTCCATCTGGAAATTCAGAGCCCTCCTTCTCCTCCAAGGAAGCCCCCCAACCCTCCCAACCAGCCTCCTGAGAGGAAGCTTCTAACAGAGGACCTCCTTTACACTGATTTTTAGTCCTGGATCTGAAGCATGGTGAGTGGGAGGGGCTGAGGTTCAGAGAAGCGAAGCCTAAGCGAGGACATCAGTCCTCTGATCAGTGGCCTTTGTCCCCTACCACGGTACCTAGTTATGCCAGAGAGTGGTCACTCCGCTTGCCTCAGGTAATCACCCTGTTTCAGGGTGCCAGAGGCTGGGCTACCTTACCTGCCAGGGATAGACCTTGTCCCTGGAACAGGCTCCAGAGGCACAGTCCAGGAGCTGGTGGAGGCCATGGGCCACTGCGTAGACAGCCCGGTAGACGTTGTAGGCAGAGCTCATGGAGAACGCTCCGAGCGTGGGCATCTGCTGTGCCGTGAAACCCCGGCACTCCCTGCACAGTTGGTTGCTGCTACACCAAGAGCCCTCGGAGCAAGGCCCTTGGGGCCCCTTAGCTGCCCGGACATAGGCCTCTTCAAACTCCTTCAGGCCAGGGACAAGCCTCTGCTGGATGGCCACACCCAGCACCGTGCCAATGCCCCAGACCCCGGGCACGCTGCTGATGTGTCTGGAGATGGCCCAGTCCTCTGAGGCGATCCACACCTTGGCGGTGAGGTTGGCCAGCACCACGGACTCGAAGAACACCCTGGCCAGCTGCCTGCTGGAGAAGACGACCACCACGGTGGTCCTCGCTCGGGCCAGGCGAAGCATCATGGCCTGCATCCTCTCACTCCCCGGGTAGGCAGAGAAGGGTATGATGTCCTTGAAGGCAATGCAGATGCCCTGCTGGGGGGCCAGCTCCTCCAGTGCCCGCACCCCCAGCTGCCCGTAGTCGCCGTCGCTGGCGACCAGCGAGATCCACACCCACCCAAACCTCTGCAGCAGCAGCACCAGGACCTCCACTTGGCGCTCATCACTGGGGATGGTGCGCAGAAACGAGGGGTAAAACCGCTTCACTCCGAGCATCCCACTGCTGGCCTCGTAGCTGACCTGTGGGGGTTCCATTCAGCAAGTTCAGTGGCATCAGTCTCAACTCAGCCCCCCCCCCCACTGCTGGCCCTTTGCTGGGTACTGGGACCTGGGGAGGAGGGACACCTGGTTCCTGCCCTGGCCCTCAAGGAGAGCTCCGCTGGACATAGGAGGCTGACAAGGTACATCTGGAGAAGAGGCAGAAACCCAAGGGGAAGTTCTGAGAGAGAAAGGGGAAGGGAACAGAAGCTGCACAGAGGGAGTGAAATGACCCAGGAGGTTAGAGGCAGATGACCTGTCTGGAAGAAGGAGCACAAAAGTCAGTCTGTCTGGTCAGGGCAGAAGGCCTTAATTGTCAGGCTCAGAGACTTGGTCTTTATCTATAGGCCATGCGGAGCCCCTAAATGTTTAGCCAGAGAAGTGATATGGTCCAATTTGTGCTTTAGGAATGAATCTCCGATTTCAATGAGGAACATGTTAGAAAAGGCTCAAGACCAGAGTCGGGAGAACCCTTAGAAGGCTGATGGAACTGTCTAGATGACAGAAGTTGGTGGTCTGAGTTAGAGCTGTGGCAGTGGTGAGGTAGAAGAGGGGACGGACTGAGCAGCATTTAGAAGGTAAATGCAGAGGCCACGGTGATGGGCTAACTGTGGGGGTGGGGGCAGAGGAATGTAGGTGGGCCTGCCCATTTCCTGGCTTGAGTAGAGAAGCAGGAGGTGGGGTGCAGGAAGAAAGAAACCCCAGTTTTCTGGGGAGGTGAGCTTAGTTTGGGGCCTGCTGTGTCCATGCAGTGGAGACCCTGGATGAGCTTCCAGAAAGGAGGCTCAGAGCTTAGAACACAGGACAGAAGTTAGAGAATGGGAAATTGAGCCATGGGACTCATGGCCTGTGTAGGGGTTCTGAATGAATTACCCCAAGATATGCCACCTTGGCACGTGGGCTAATTTCCAGTTTGAAATAATTAAAGCACAAAAGACTCAGGAGGAAATGTTGACCTTTCCCCTAACTGCCTGAAAGAATTTAGATCTCCAGGTTAGGAAACTGTCACCAGGGAGAACTACGATATAATAGGAACTAGGTGTGGTGGGAAGGGGGGAATCTTAGCAAAGTCCAATTTGTTATAAAATTCCTCTCTATGTCCCTTTGTTTCTGGAAGGCCTGGCAAACATTTGTTTACTAAACATTTACTCTCTTTTCTCTTCCTATGAATTGTGTTCCTCTCCTTTGAAGTCCCAGACCCCTACCAGCTTCTCCTTAGTTCAGAATAGCATATAAGCCTTATTTTACCCGTCTTTGAACCGCTGATGTTTATGTGGATTCCCTATACATAGGTAATTTTGACTTTCTCCTGTTAATCTGTCTCATGTCAATTTAATGTTTAGACCAGCCAGAAGAATCTTGAACAGTAGAGGAAATTTTTTTACTCCCAATGCCTGCTTGGGAAAGGGAGCATCCTGTACTCTGGTAATCATCCACTTTTTCAGAAGAGATGGGAGAGATTCTCTAAAGGAGACTGAGAAGGAGGAGGAGGGGCCATAAGTAAGAGAGGGTAGGTCATAAATGCTGAGGAAAGAATGTCATCAAAGGACCGGTCAAGAATGTCACAGAATTGTCCTGTCAGGTAAAAAGGGACTGAAAAGCATTTGTTGGATTTGGAGACCGAGAAAGCCCTCCAGATCACAACAAGAGCAGGAGTGGTGGGACAGCGGCCAGGGCAGGAGGTTGAGAAGCAAATGGCAAGAGGGAGAAGCAAACAAGACTAGAAGGTCCTGCAGGTAAGTTTCCGTGGAAAGAGGGCAGAGGGAGGACAGTGCTGGGAGGGGAGGTGCCTAAAAGATGGGGAGGCCAGCTAACAGGCTTTCAGGCAGAGGAGGAAGCCTGGGAAAGGCTGACAAGCAGAGGAGGGTGCAAGGCCTGGGGTACAGCCCTCTGAGTGGTGGACCACACCTCTCTGAGCCTAAGCCTGAGCCTGGACGAGGAGAGGAAGGCAGGAAGAAGAAGGAGGGCAGGGGAGAAGTGGAGAAGTCTGTGGGGCAGGAAACAAAGGGTGTTCCATTCTTCATAAAGAAGACAGTGGTGGGAGGAGAGTGAAGGGCAGTGCTTTCAAACGAGAATGGGTTTTCTCAGGATCACTGAAGCAAGAAGGTCTGGAAGCAGCACTTGTGGAGGAAGAAATGGTGGCGCCAGGACTGTGACAGGGCAGAGCCCCCTGCAATGTGACTCATGAGTGGTGACCACCCAGAAGATCCAGGGGGCCAGACTGGCCTTGGGGCCCAGCAGTTCCAGCCCACCAACCCCAGCCGCAACTGGACTTGCCAGAAGGGGAGGTGGACACACTGCGGGGCCCCCAGCTTACCAGGGGCACCAGAAAGGGGCTCAGCAGGGCTGCGGTGGTGGCAGCGTGGCTGGTGGTGTCAGGCCCAATGACTGCCAATGCGGCAGGGGAGTAGCGGGCGGGGTCTGCCTGGACCTCTACGCGATGCGTCCCCAGCACGGAGAGCACACTTAGTGCGGCATACACATTGGCCGACTCGGAGCACACGTCGTACAGCTGGTACCCCAAGGTGACGTTAGGCAACAGGGTCGTGGAGTTGTTGATCTCCTCGATGCCAAAGCGCATGGCCTGGAAGAGGTGGTAGCCATGGCCGTTGAAGCTGTTGGGTCTGTGGAGAGAGCCAAGCTGAGAGCCAAGAAGAGCGGGGCCTCGCTGCAACACTCTCTGGAGGGTAGGAAGGAAACTCGGAGGTCATCTGTCTGGTGCCCATAACCGTGACCTCAGTGTGGGCCCTGTGCCATACACACAGTTGTGTTAACAGGCCTTTGGGTGGGGTGGGGGGGTACAAGTTGGAGAAACCGCAAACCATGCCCCCCGGATAAGCATATTAGCGCTGGAAGGCCGATGAAGTCCGGTATCAGAGACACCTGCTGTGGCTCGGGTTCTCCAGAGAAACAGAGCCAACTGGATATACAGAGAGGAAGGAAGGTGGTTTAAGGAATTGGCTCACGTGGTTGTGGGGCCAACAAGTCTGACGTGTGCAGGGCAGGCCGGAAATGTCCTCCGTGGCTGATGCTGCTGTCTTGAGTGTGAAGGCTGAATTCCTTCCTTATTAGGGGACCTCAATCTTTTCTCTTAAGGTCTTCAGCTGATTGGATGAGGCCCACCCACATGACGGAAAACCATGTGCTTTATTCACCGTGTTGAGTTAAATGTTAACCTTCACGGCAGCATCTAGCCAGGTGTTTGGCCAAACAACTGGGCACCATACCCTAGTCAGGCTGACACAAAAAGTTAACCACACACCTGTTTAACCTTGTTTAACTAGTGCTTCTCACCAGGACACTCATGAATGTGGTGAGGGCCTGTGTTCCTCACTGCCTCTTGGGAACTACTGGCTGCGTCCCTACAGGGACATGGTTCAGGTCTGCTGAAGAGTGTGTAGGCACATTCCCCCTCCCACCCTCTGTGCCTGCTGGAAGGGTCTTGCATCATTTCTATCACTTCTGTCCTTGAGTCCCTCAGAGGAAACTCAGTGCCTCCCACCGTGATGCCTTCAGAAGTGGGTGTCCACGTGTCTCCTCTTCCCCAAATCTTCTCTTCCCTGGCTGTAGCTCTTGGGGCCAGTCTTCCTGCACTAGGCTTTCCAGAACCTTCCTCCTGTGTGAATCTCAGATGTGCTTTATGTTTGAGGCATCCTGCCACTGAGTCCCAGTCCGTCATCGAGCATCCCAAATCTTCGACTTGCACAGCTGGCAAACAGCTTATCTTCTTTAGGAGAAAAGCAGATGTTTTTCTTTACCGACTCTCAACTTCAGGAAGGCAAGGCACCGATCTAAGATATGTTTACTAAACTCCTAGAGCATCTACTGCTTTCCCTTACTCCTCATGGGAAACCAGGCTTGTCATTGGGAGATTCAGGAGTTTGAACCTGGAGAGGAGCAGGGAGGGCATGGAAGGCAGGAAAAGTCATAATTGCTTAATCCTCTTTTTTTTTTTAAGTTTTGTTTTTTTTTAATTTGACAGATCACAAGTAGGCAGAGAGACAGGCAGAGAGAGAGGGGGAAGCAGGCTCCCCACTGAGCAGAGAGCCCGACATGGGGCTTGATCCCAGGACCCTGAGATCATGACCTGAGCTGAAGGCAGAGGCTTAACCCACTGAGCCACCCAGGCGCCCCAATCCTCTTTTTTTTAAAAAAGATATTATTTATTTGACAGACAGCGAGAGAGGGAACATAAGCAGGGGGAGTGGGAGAGGGAGAAGCAGGCTTCCTGCCAAGCAGGGAGCCTGATGAGGGACTTGATCCCAGAACTCTGGGATCATGACCTGAGCCAAAGGCAAACACTTAACTGAGCCACCCAGGCATGCCCATGCTTGCTTAATCCTTGTCACCTCCTTATGTCACAAAGCCTAGAAACAACTGGAAGGGGATTACAAAAAAAGCACTCTAATAGCCAGGACAAAATGACATATTACAAAGTGGAACCTGAGCAGAAGTGCCAGGGAAGGGGCTCCTGGGTGGCTCAGTTCGTTGGGCATCTACATTTGGCTCAGGTCGTGGCCCACAGTCCTGGGACTGAGTCCCACATTGGGCTCCCTGGTCAGTGGGGAGCCTGCTTCTCCCTCTGCCCCTCCCCCTACTTGTGCTTGCTCCCTCTCTGTCAAATAAATAAAATCTTAAAAAAAGATGAAGAAGAAGAAGAAGTAGAAGGAGGAGGAGGGGGAGAAGAAGAAGGAGGAGGAGAGGAAGAGGAGGAAGAACGAGAACGGGTGCCAGGGAAGGTCTAGCCAGGGCTTGAAGGTGGTGGCTGTAGGATGGCGAGGGACTGGAGGTGGTTCAGGCGGCAGCCCCAGGGGCAGAAAGGGCATGGTCTTCACCAAGGAGGGCCTTTTAGATACAGGACCCCTCACTCACCTGTCACAGACAGTCACCGTGGGCCTGCGTCTCACCCCCGGACAGTGAGAGTGCACAGGGAACAGACCTGCGAGGAGGTAATCCCCGGCGAGGCTGAAGTCAGGAGACAGTTCTGTGTTGTGGCAGCTGAGGGCCCAGCAGCAGGAGAGGGAGAGCAGAAGGCTGACCAGGTGAGCTGCCAGGAGTGACATGCTGGCCAAACGCTCCTGCGCCTGGCATGGCCGAGCAGAGCTCTCTGACCACGTTGCCGTTTAAATAGAATGGAGAGCAGCCGCCCAGATGCTTCCCAATTTCATGCCTATGTCAGGGGTGGGGCTGGAACCCAGTCATAGGAGCCTGGCTGCTTGCCTTGGCCTTCTGGGCCTGTGGTCCTTCTCAGGAACTGGGCAGGGGGAAGGCACGGATGCAAACCAGGTGGCAGCCACTGACCCTTCCTTGGCATGCTTGTGGCTTCTGTCCTTGCTCTGGTGCCTGTGGTTTCACCTGGCTCAGAAAGGGAGCCCCAGGGGCACCTGGCTGGCTGCCTGGGTTAAGCAGCTGACTCTCGATCTTGGCTCAGGTCTTGATCTCAGGGTCTTGGGTTAAAGCCCCATGCTGGGCTCCACCCTGGGCACTGATCCTACTTAAAGAAACAGAGAAACGGAGCCCTGGCATTTGGGGGGATGGTGGTCAGAGACAGGAGGCAGGGACAAAGCTTCTCTGGGGGACAGAATGTGGAGGCTCCTGTGGATTTTATTTATTTTTTTAAAAGATTTAATTTATTTGACAGAGAGAGAACCAGAGAGCACAAGCAGAGGGAATGGCAGAGGGAGAGGGAGAAGCAGGCTCTGCATTGAGCAGAGAGCCATATGCGGGGCTCGATTCCAGGCCCCTGGGATCATGACCTGAGCTTAAGGCAGACGCTTAACCATCGGAGCCACCCAGGCGCCCTGAGAGCTGTGGATCTTAGAATTTTTTACCCGGGCCTCAGTTTACTAAATGAGACATAGCTTTGAGTTGACCTCCTCCCAGCCTGTTTTCTGACACTGAAATTTTGAGTGAATCGTGGTGGGTTTGCCTTGTTATCCACTGGGGCTCCGTTCAGCCCGAAGACAACTGCATGCAAACACAGTATGCAAATAGACCGGTTTTGCTTAAACCGCCAATCCTGGTTCTTTTTCTGCAAGAAAAAAAATTCCAAGTGGATTTCCGGAGTGGTGGCCCAGGACTCAAAGCGGGGTATCTGGCCGGGGTGGGGCTTTTGCATAATGTAAATGGGGCCCGCGGAGGGACGGCCAGGAGGGGTGTGGCCAAGGCTGAGGCCCCGGAATCCCCAGGCCCGCGGGAGCCCGGGAGGGGCCAGTGGAGGCCCAGGTGCGCTGCCCGGACCGGCCCCCGCCCCGGTAGAGGGCGCTCGCGGCTCCAGGACGCTTCTTTCAGCCTCTCGACGGGCCGCGGGGCGGAGCGACTGTGTCTCGCGAGATTTTCGCGCGGCAGGCGCCGGAGTCCAGCATGGCTGACTCGCAGTTGATGCTGAAGCGGGGTCCTTTCCGCTCCACGTGGCTGCGTGCCCGCAAGACTCGGACACAGCTCGTTCTCAGCCGCCGGCCCCGCCGCCGGCTCGGGACCCTGCGCTGGTGCGGCCGGAGGCGCCTGCGGCGGCGGCTGCTGCAGGCTCAGGCAGCCGGCGCGGACTGGCGGGAGAGCGGCTGCCTGGTGTCGCGCGCGGCGACCCGGAGGCCCAAGAGCGCGGCCCCCAGCCGGGCTCCGGCCGCAGCCCCCGCCCCGAGCGGCCCCGCGAGCCTCCCCATACCGCCGGTGCGGCCAGCCGGCCCGGGCCGCGCACTGGTGCTGCTGCCGCTGGAGCAGGTGGGTCGCGCCGGAGGGACTGGCAGAAGACCCTGCCCGCTCTGCAGGTTCTCCGGCGCGGGTGGAGCGCATTCCTCCTGGCGGTGGTGCTGAGCGGGGGGACCAGGACCGACCCTGCTGTGGGATTCTAGGTTTTCAGAGCTGAACGGGGTAGTGGTAAATAATACTAGTAGGTCACATTTACTGGGTGCTTGGAAAATGCCAGGCTCTGTGTTGTACGTGTTTCAGGCTTGCGAACCCTTTTACTCCTCCTAGCTCCTGTGCAGTCGTTACGTTATTTCCGGAAGTTTACAGACGAAGACAGTGAGATACAGCAGAGGTAGCTTGATAAGAGGGGCGCAGTAGAGGCAGAGCTGGTGTTCAGACACGCGCAGCTGGAGTGCTCCTCACTTGGACGCTGCTCTCCGAGGTCTTCCTCCAGTGCAGGAGGAAAGTGGCTGGCAGTGGGCCTTGGTGGAGGTAGGGATCCGTGAGAACGGCAGACCAGTTCATTGGGACCCCCTCGTTCGTGTGTCCGGATACACCAGCTATCTCTCTAGCTGTCCTGGGATGTGGAATTAGGTTAGAGAGATTGAGTACCCGATGGTCACCTAGTTACTTGGAAATCCCCTCCCCTTGGGTATGTGAATAGCAGTTAAGAGTTTAGAAAACTAAAAAAAAAAAAAAAAAGGGGGGGGGTGCCTGGCTGGCTCAGTGGGTGGAGCATGTTACTTTTGATCTCAAGTTGTCACTTCCAGTCCCATCTTGGGCATAGAGTTTAGTTTAAAAAAAAAAAAAAAAAAGTTTAGAAAGTTTCAGTCTCCAGCAACAGAATTTGTAACGTCACAGTTTCCTTTCTTTGTCCTTCTTCGATAGGGTTTTACTTTTAGCGGGATCTGTCGTGTGACTTGCCTCTATGGCCAGGTGCAAGTGCTTGGCTTCACCATCGGCCAAGGCCAGCCTGCCCAAGAGGTCTTCTCTGCCTACACGCACTCGCGCTTGACTATCAATGCCGTTCATTATTCCATGCCTGAGAAAAGCAAGAAGGAGATGAAAAGGGAAGCCCGAGCTCTGCTCAGATCTCATCTTAATCGGGGTAAGGAAAAAAACTGGATAATTTCCTGAAAGTATATTACAATAAGGCTGCTGTTTTTAGATCCTTCCTATTGCCAAGACATGGCACACTCTTATGTCTCTATTTAAAGTGAAACTTGAGTGAAACTAGTTTTCACCATTTACAGATGAGAAAAATGGCCCCAGGCCACACAACTAGCTACTGTGTAGCAAAAGCAAACCTGGATTGACTTCTCCATCCAGGTGTGTTCCTTGTGTGCAGTGTGGTTTCCTGAAGAAAGCTTTCGAACATAATTCCTGCTCTCAAAAAGTTGACAGTTCAGCCGAGGAGAAGGTGGTCCTAAAACGGTGTAGAATTTAATGGAGTTACTATTTCTAAGGTAGTTTATTTTTCTCTTCACAGATGACAGATGTTGGTTGATGAAGAATTTTTCTCCTCTGTGTTCCATTGTGATGCTAGAACAACTGAAAACCTCCACTGTGAACTTCCTAGTCAGCCATCCAGGGTTATCTTACGTTTTCGTACAAGAGGTAGGACCAGTTTTCATTCAGTTTTGCTAATTATTTTCATAGGAAAAGTCATGTCAGCTGACTATGGGATGCCCCCTCGGAAGATCAGTGCTGTAGGTTGTACACAGTGTCATATGTGAGTACAGTAAAACAGTGTTGAAAGGCATATCATGAAAAACATTGTCTCCCCTTCCGTGTTAGTTTTATTCCCCCGTGGAAGCCATCTTTTCATATTGTAGATGTTTAAATGCTTTTTGGAATTTTTACGTTATTTATTTATGTTTTTCCCAAGGTGTTTTTTGTTTTGAACTTTAAGTACAATCTACCCCTCAGTGTGGGGCTTGAACTCGTGACCCGAAGATCAAGGGTTGCATGCTCTACTGACTGCAGCTCGGTGCCCCGCCTGTCGGAAATTTTAAAATGGTTATTTTTTTTTTTTAAGATTTTATTCATTTGACAGAGACACAGTGAGAGAGGGAACACAAGCAATGGGAGAGAGAGAAGCAGGCTTCCCGATGAGCAGGGAGCCCGATGTGGGGCTCGATCCCAGGGCCCTGGGATCATGACCTGAGCCTAAGGCAGATGCCTAACAAACTGAGCCACCTAGGCGCCCCTAAAAATGGTTATCTTTTTTATCTTGATTTATTAACTTGAGATAGTGTAAATTTCCTCTATGAATGTACTTTAGTGTACTTAGTAATTTCTCCCATCTCTATTTTCACCTCCCAAGTTTTTGCTGACCATGTCACTAATTTCTTTTTAAAAATTTTTTAAAATATTTATATTTTTTATTAACATATAATGTATTTGTTTCAGGGGTACAGGTCTGTGAGTCATTAGTTCACAATTCACAGTGCTCACCATAGCACATACCCTCCCCCATTGTCCATCACCCAGCCAACCCCCACCCCATTCCAGCATCTCTCAGTTTGTTTCCTGAGATTAAGAGTCTCTTAAGGTTTATCTCCTTCTCTGGTTTCATCCCATTTCATTTTTTCCTCTCCTCCCCCATCATCTTCTGCCTTGTTTCTCAAATTCCACATAATCAGCAAGATCATATGATAATTGTGTTACCCTGATTGACTTATTTCATGTTACTAATTTCTTAGTCAAGTTCTGTGGCTTTAATTGTCTCCCATGGGCCATACATTGAACCTAATCTGCAGGATTATGAGGCTGACTGGATGCGAGATGGGGAAGAACTGAGGAATACATGCTTTTGGGTGCAGGGGGTTACTGAAATGGGGGCATGTGGGAGGGGCAGATTGAGATCTTCACCTTGACATGCCTGTTAGACATTCCACTGGAGTTGTCCTGTGGGCAGTTGCACACGTGAGTCTGGAGTTAGGAGCTTTCCGCAGAGTGGCCCAAAGGCCAAGAGATGGGATAATAATACCAAGGAAGATGATACAGAGAGACAAGGGGGTTCAAAGTCACAGCCCTTTGGCACTCCCAAGAAGAGGTCTAGATGAGGGAGCAGAGAGACTGAGAAGAGGGGTCACCGATGTTAGAGGAAAACCCAGGCAACTGTGATCAGGAAGTCTTCAGAGGAGCTGGAAGTGAATGGTTGTGTCACTTGCCGCTGGTGATAGTTGGGGCCCGAGGACAGAGCTGGGAGGTAGGAGCCCCTTTGGACAAGCGCAGGGGCAGTAGGCTGCTGAGGGGTGGCTCACCACATCAGGGTCAAGAGCCTAGGGAGGGAGGAACTCTCGGCTTTAATAGTAAGGGATTTTGCTTCTGTAGGTTTAGCTGTAAAGGGAAGAAATGACACAGTAATTGGAGAAGTGTGGCCAGAGTTTTGTTTTTTTGCTAAAATGGATGTAAAACCCGCCACGTTTGAACACAACAAGTGGAAATGGTCAGAGCGGGGAGGGTGCTGAGGACGCAGCGGAGGGAGGTGAGGGCGGAAGTGAAGCCACTGAGGGAGGGCCTCTGGCTCTGGCGTCTGTGGCAGGGGCCAGCCTGGAGAGCTCTGGCAGTTCACCCGGAGTAGCTGCTGCACGCACAAGTTCTCTTTTGATTGTCTCGTTCCGCTCTGGGAAATGGGTCAGGGCCATCACTGAGTGGGAGCAGAGCTAGTGGGCAGGTGTCGGGTTGGAACTGAGCGGAGAAGGCACACAGCGAGCGTGGGGGCGTGAGTAGACTGTTCCGACGGTGTCCGTTTCATCTAGCGCAGACCCAGTAGCCCGGTGAGGGCCGTGGGGGAGGAAATGGGAACCATGTGTCACCAGGCCTTTACCTCTTGCAAGTGAAGGTTCCAAACACTTTGATACTCTGTTTTCATTCGTTTTTGGCTTAATTTTTTTTTCTGGGACTTCACCACCACTGTTTATATTCCTAATGCTCCTGCTTGGGTAACTCCCCCCCCACCCCACTATGTGTTAATATGTTGTAGAGTTATTTTTTCATACAAGGCAGTGACCTTTATATGATGTCATTTTACAAGATACCCTTATTTTATCCTCTGTGATTGATAGTTGAGCACAGTACAGAGTTTTCCCTAGAAACCTTGAAGGCCTTGCTCCTCTGTTTCCTAGAATCCAGAGTTGCTGATAGGAACTGATTCTCATTCCTTTTATGTCTTTACCCTGCGGTTGGTGAATTGCATGAGAATATGGTCGTGAGTGGGTCCCTTCCTTGATCTCTTCACCATGGAGACCTTGTTCCCTCTGAGCCCCGCCGGCTGCAGCGAGGGCCTGCTCCTCCGTTCCGTGGGTTGGTCGGTGGCTTCCTGGTGCTTCTGCTGGAGCGCTCGTGGGCGTAGTGGCCTGTCTTCAACCTTCTTCCAGCCCGGTCTGCACATGTTCCTTGTTTTTTTACCTTATGTCTTTGGAGACAGTCTTGATTTTGTTCTAAAGCACCAACCTGTTCAACATGTATGGTCTCTGTTGGATTGTCCTTGTGGCAGCTGCCTTTTTTTTTTTTTTTCATCTTTATTTTTTTATTTTTTATTTTTTTATAAACATATAATGTATTTTTATCCCCAGGGGTACAGGTCTGTGAATCGCCAGGTTTACACACTTCACAGCACTCACCATAGCACATACCCTCCCCAATGTCCATAATCCCACCCTCTCCCTCCCCCCCTCCCCCCAGCAACCCTCAGTTTGTTTTGTGAGATTAAGAGTCACTTATGATTTGTCTCCCTCCTGATCCCATCTTGTTTCATTTATTCTTCTCCTACCCCCCTAACCCCCCATGTTGCATCTCCACTTCCTCATATCAGGGAGATCATATGATAATTATCTTTCTCCGATTGACTTATTTCACTAAGCATGATACCCTCTAGTTCCATCCACATCGTTGCAAATGGCAAGATTTCATTTCTTTTGATGGCTGCATAGTATTCCATTGTGTATATATACCACATCTTCTTTATCCATTCGTCTGTTGATGGACATCTAGGTTCTTTCCATAGTTTGACTATTGTAGACATTGCTGCTATAAACATTCGGGTGCACGTGCCCCTTCGGATCACTATGTTTGTATCTTTAGGGTAAATACCCAGTAGTGCGATTGCTGGGTCGTAGGGTAGCTCTATTTTCAACTTTTTGAGGAACCTCCATGCTATTTTCCAGAGTGGTTGCACCAGCTTGCATTCCCACCAACAGTGTAGGAGGGTTCCCCTTTCTCTGCATCCTCGCCAGCACCTGTCATTTCCTGACTTCCTAATTTTAGCCATTCTGACTGGTGTGAGGTGGGATCTCATTGTGGTTTTGATTTGTATTTCCCTGATGCCAAGTGATGTGGAGCATTTTCTCATGTGTCTGTTGGCCATCTGGATGTCTTCTTTGCCGAAATGTCTGTTCTTGTCCTCAGCCCATTTCTTGATTGGGTTATTTGTTCTTTGGGTGTTGAGTTTGCTAAGTTCTTTATAGATTTTGGACACTAGCCCTTTATCTGATATGTCGTTTGCAAATATCTTCTCCCATTCTGTCAGTTGTCTTTTGGTTTTGTTAACTGTTTCCTTTGCTGTGCAAAAGCTTTTGATCTTGATGAAATCCCAATAGTTCATTTTTGCCCTTGCTTCCCTTGTGGCAGCTGCTTTTTAAATTTGGACACCTTTTCCTTCCCTGCGAGGTCTCCTGCAGAGGTGATGGCAGCTTGGAAGTGCATGTGAGCCAGGAGGACAGGCACGGAAACGACTGGAGGAGTAGCTGACGAGACTCCCTGAAGGAGTGGCTGTGGAGGGGCAAGAGGGGGCCTCAGGTCTACCTTTCCTAGTTCGACGACTGTTTGAGGCCTAATAATTTAGAACTGGAGGAAGAAATGTGCACTTGTGTTCATGTTTTCTTAAAACTCAAATTGTTAATTTCAGAGTCCAACCTTCCAGATTAACTCTGAACATTTAGCCCTGAGGTCTGTTGGCATTAGAAGAGAGAAGAAGAAAAACGGCCTTCGTTTGACAGAGAGTGCCCTGTCGGCCATGGAGGAGTTGGTCACCGTGTCCTGTGGTGAGTGACCTGGTGATAAAGGGAGCATTCATTCCTCAGGGCCTCAGAGAATCACGAGTTACCTGTCGAGCCCTAAAGAAGGTGGCTAATTTGAGGCGTCAATGTTTGTTTTGCCTCCAGAAGAAGTAGATGGCTGCCCTGTCATTCTCGTTTGTGGCTCTCAAGACGTTGGAAAGTCAACATTTAATAGATACCTCATTAACCAGTTGTTAAACAGGTAAGAGTGTTTTCATTTTTGTTAAGATTTTTATTAGATTTGGGTCATGAGATAGGATTTTTGATTTAAGAAACTAGACGGGAATCCATCCTGACTTCATGGCGGGGACCATCTCCCAAGTCTGTCTGAAGGTGCTCAGAGGGAGGACGGCACTCCCTGTTGGACCGTGCTTTGGACTGAGGCACATCGGCCTCTCGGGGTGAATTGATCGTGTCACTTACCAGTGTCTTTGCGAGAAGAGTCACCTGGTCTCAATCTGTGTTTGTCCCTACCCAGAGGTTCAGAGTAGGGAGACGTTCTGTTGTGTTTTGAACATCGGGTTTTAGGAAGGACAAAGTTGTATCCATATTGTGAACGGGTACTGTGACCATGCCTGCATCACATTTTCTTGTTATATTTGTTTTTATGTTGTTTGCCTCTTTGAAGCATTCTACTTAATAGGCCGCATGGGGTGGGTTGGGCCTGCGTATTGCATAAGGTCTGTAAGATCTGATTTATTCTTGTGACAGGGGAAAGCTAGTTGAGATTTTCTTTATTTCTTTCAAATTTTCAGTATTTCCTGCGTTGACTATTTGGAATGTGACCTGGGACAGACAGAATTTACACCTCCAGGTTGCATTTCTTTACTTAATATTACGGAGCCAGTTCTAGGTATGTATTACACATTTCTTTCATGTTTTGGTTTTATAAAACTCAAGTATATTGGGGCGCCTGGGTGGTTCAGTGGGTTAAAGCCTCTGCCTTCGGCGCAGGTCATGATCCCAGGGTCCTGGGATCGAGCCCCGTGTTGGGCTCTCTGTTCAGCGGGGAGCCTGCTTCCCCCTCTCTCTCTCTGCCTGCCTCTCTGCCTACTTGTGATCTATGTCTGTCAAATAAATAAATAAAATCTTTAGGAAAAAAAAAAACTCAAGTATAATGATCTTGAAAAAACCAAAAATTTAAAGGACGTCTGGCTGGCTCAGTTGGTAGAGCACGCAGCTGTCAGTCTCGGGGGTATGAGTTCAAGCCTCACATTGGGCATGGATCCTACTTTAAAAAAATTAAGAACGGGGCACCTGGGTGGCTCAGTTGGTTAAAAATCTGCCTTCAGCTCAGGTTGTGATCCAGGGTCCTAGGATTAGGCCGTTTATCAGGCTCCTTGCTCGGTGGGAGTCTGCTCCTCCCTCTTTCTTTGCCTCCCCTCCTGCACTCTCTCTCAAGTAAATACAAAATCTTGAAAAAAAAATTAGTAAATAAAAACTAGAAAAGAACGTAGAAAAGTGAACATTTCCCTTACCACACTCATGGTCTTCCCATAACTCTTCTAGCCTCTTAAAAAAAAATACTATGATACTTTTCTAGGGTTCTGTTTGGGTACATGGAGCTGATAGCCATTGAGTTTTGTATAAACCAGAAACATGTCTTCCCGTGGTGTGCCCATTGTATGTAAACCCGTATGATATTGTAAACCAAGAAATGACATTAGCACGATACTATTAGCTTTATTCAAAATTCATGAGTTACCCTACTAATAATGTTCTTTGCTGGTTCAGACTCCAAACCAAAGTCCCATGTTGCTTTTTTTTTTAAACGGTAAAATATGCACAACACGATATTTACTGTTTAAACTGTCGCCCCGCGCACAGCTCGGTGACGTTCAGTCACTCACAGTGTCACATACCCTTCACCCCTGCCTGTATCGGAAACTTCTCCGTCATCCTGAGCTGAAGCACTGTCTCTGTTAAAGAACACTTGTGGCTCCCGCCCACCTCTCTTCTACTCTGTCCCTGTGAATTTGCGCATTCCACGCACCTCATGTCAGTGAAAACAGACTATTTGGCCTTGTGTCTGGTTTTTTTTAACTAAGTATTTTTTTTTCTTTTTGCTTTTTTTTTTTATGTTTTTATCTCAGTCCAGTTAGTTAACACAGCGTCATGTTAGTTTCAGGGGTATAGTATGGTGACTCAGCACTTCCATGCGTCCCCCACAATGCCCTCCTCCGTCCCCATCCCCTAATTTCCCTCATCCCCAGCACCCTCCAAGCATCAGGGTTTTAAGATAGTCCATATCGTAGCAGATCATAAAAATGTATTTCCTTGTGGGCGAGTATCATTCCGTTGTGTACGTGTGTCACACTTTGTTGTTGTGCTCAGCTGTTGATGGACAGTGGGACTGTTGTCACCTGGCGGCTACAGGGAATCGTGCTGCTGTGAACATCCGCTTACGGTTACCTGTGCAGGTCCCTGCTTCTAGTTCTTTCAGCAAGATGCCAGGAGGGGAATTGCCGGGTCGTGTGGTAACGCCGTGCCTAATCTTTTGAGAAACCACCAGCTTGTTATTCACGGCGGCTGCATTTTGCAACCGTGGGTGCGTGGGGCTCTCGCTTCTCCACGTCTCGTCATCTGGGTGACAGCCTATCAGGTGTGCACCAGTAACCCATGTGGCTTTGATTTGCATTTCCCTGATGGCTGATGGAGCTGAGCCTCTGTTCCCGTGCTTGCTGTTCCCGTGCTTTTCTAGATCTTTGGAGAAATGTCTATGAAGTCCTTCGCCCATTTCTGAATTGCCTTGTTACTGAGTGTAGGCATCCTTTGTGTGTGTTCTAGGTGTTGATCTCTTATCAGATAAACAGTGTGCAAATGATTTTTCCCATCCTCTAGGTCTTATTTCTTTTCTTTTTTCCCCTTCTTACTGTTTTTTTGACAGTGTCCTTTGATACACAAAAGTTCTTAATTTTTATGAAACCCAATTTCTTTTTTCTTTTATTGACATTTTCTTGATGTCATATCTGCAGTGTTACTAAGTCCAATATCATTAAGATTTTCCTGATGTTCTTGGAGTTTGGTAAGTTTTAACTCTTATATTTAATAAGTCTTTGGTCCATTCTGAATTAATTTTTGTGTATGATATAGGGAAAGCATCCAATGTCATTTTTTTGCATGTGGATATCCAGTTTTCCAATTATCATTTGTTCGTCCTTTCCCCCATGGCATGGTCTTGGCACCCTTGTGGGAAAGCATTTGATCTTGCATATGAGGGCCTATTTCTGGGCCCTCTATTTTATTCCACTGGCCTATATGTCTGTCTTTATGCCAGTTCCCTGCTAATGGAGGCATGTGAGTCCTCCCAGCTTCATTCTTTTTCAAGATCGTTTTGGCCATTTGGTCCCCTTGCAATCCCGTATGAATCTGAAGATCACTTTTTCCATTTCTGTGAAAAAGGCTGTTGGATTTTGGTTAGGGATTGCGTTGACTGAATCTTTAACTCGCCTTGGGTGACGCTGGCATCTCAGTTAATGATAAATCTTCCTGTACGTGAATACAGGATGTCTTTCCAGTTTCTTAGGTCTTTTTAAATTTTTTTCAGCAATTTTTTTTGTTTTTTTTTAAAGATTGTGTTTATTCATGAGAGACAGAGAAGGAGGCAGAGGGAGAGGGAGAAGCAGGCTCCCCACTGAGGAGGAAGTCTGATGCGGGGCTCGATCCCAGGACTCTGGGATCATGACACGAGCTGAAAACAGACACTTCACCAACTGAGCCGCCCAGGCGCCCCCCCCCACCTCATCTTTTTTTAAATAGTCACAGATTCAAACTCTTACCTTCATCTTCCTAGGACCACCTTTCACCCACCAGAGGACACCACAGAAAATGGTGTATTATGGGAAGCCGTCTTGTAAAAACAACTATGAGAATTACATTGAGATAATAAAGTATGTGTTCAGTTCCTACAAGAGGGAGTCCCCTCTCATCGTCAACACCATGGGCTGGGTGTCAGGTAAGCCCCCGGAGGCGTGTGTGGCCCGAGAGAAGGGGCAGCACGAACGGCTCTGGCTTCAGGCAGTAGCACTGGGGCCCAGTTTTAGGAGACTCTTCCTCGTGGTCCTTTCTTTGTCTCAGAACAGCTGTGCCATCTTCTCATGGCAGCCTGTCACTGTTTGATTAGCACGCCAGCTGCTTGTGTCCTCTTCTCACAGACAAAGGGCTTCTGCTTCTCATCGATCTCATCCGGCTGCTGTCTCCCAGCCACGTCGTGCAGTTCAGCTCTGGCCGGAGCAAGTACATGCCGAACCTGACCCCTGACTACGTGGACGACATGGATGGCCTGTACACTAAGAGCAAGTCCAGAGTCCGCAACAGAGGTTTCCAGCTGGCGGAGTTCACGGAGAGTTTGGAGTTTGCCGACGAAGAAAAGGAGAGTCCAGTTGTGTTCACTGGACATAAACTGATGTGTGTCCAGTCGGACTTTGCGTTTAGGAAAACTCCAAGAAACAGGTAATTAAACCGTCACGGCTGGAGATTATAGTTCTCTGCAGTGGAATGAGGCCTGCTGCCCTCGGTTCCTTGGAAGGAGTGAGTCCTCCACGGGTTTTTGAATCTGTCTCACAGCCCCGTGTTCATGAAGGAGAATCTGTTCTTTTCTGAGCTGTTACTGTCCCAACGGAAACACAGGCAGCCTCCAATTTGAGGGGGTGTGACTTTTCAATTTTCCCACTTTATGTTGGTGTTAAAGCAGTACACATTTGGTAGAAACCGTACTTTGTATTTTGGTCTTTTCCTGGGCAAGCACGATGCTGTACGGCGCTCTGCCCTGAGGCTGGGTGGTGGCAGTGGTCCACGCCTCCAGGTCAGCCCGGACGGTGAGCCACGGGGACAGACGCCATTCTGCACCCACACAACATAGGCTCTGTGTTCGGTGATTCTGCCCAGCGGAGGCTAATGTGAGTGTCCTGAGCTCATTTAAAGTAGGTGAGGCTGGGTGCCTGCATGGCTAAGTCATGAAGCCTCTGTCTTTGGCTCAGGTCACGATCCCAGGGTCCTGGGATCGAGCCCCACATTGGGCTCCCTGCTTGGCGGGAAGCCTGCTTCTTCTCCCTCTGCCACTCCCCTTGCTTGTGTTCCTTCTCTCGCTGTGTCTCTCTGTGTCAAAGAAATAAATAAAATATTTTTTAAAAAAATAAAGTAGGTGAGACTGAGTTGTGACGTTTGGTAGGCGAGGTGTCTTAAAGTCATTTTCTTTTTTTTTTTTTTTTTTAAGATTTTATTTATGTATTTGACAGACAGTGACCACAGGTAGGCAGAGAGGCAGGCAGAGAGAGGGGAGAGGGAAGCAGGCTCCCCGCTGAGCAGAGAGCCTGATGCGGGTCTCGTGGGGCTTGATCCCAGGGCCCTGAGTTTGTGACCTGAGCTAAAGGCAGATGCTTAACCCACGGAGCCACCCAGGTGGCCCTATAAAGGCATTTTTGATATCCAGTATTTTCCCCTCTTTGGGGTTTCTGAGGGTGGAACCACCTTGTAAACTGAGGAAGACCCGTACCCAGAGGGGGCCTGTAGCTCTGGTTTCCAGGAGTGTTTGAAGGAGTCTTTACACGTCATGTTCTCCAGTGGGGCTGTGGAGAGGGTCTGCAGGCGTTATGGTGGGACTGTGTAGTCTTTTGGTGCGTAACCCGTGTAATGACTGATGGACTCTGTCCTGAGGTTAAAGCTCTGCTTCATCCCGATTTGCTTCGCAGAGAGTCCCACAACAAGGTTCTTCGGGATTTGGCGGTACTCGGTTACCTTGGCCAGCTGCAGCCTCCCGTGCCAAAACCGCTGTGTCCCTTACATGGCCTGACGCCCTATCAGGTAACCCGAACTTGGACAAGGAATTCTCTGTGGATGCACCGAGCCCTTGTGGGGCTGCCAGTGCGCGTTCTCTAGCTGCGGGGTGACGCTTCGCTCGCCCCCCCTGTGGTGTGGGTTCTCTGACGGCCTCAGTTTACAGACGGGGGTGCAGTGACCTCGCTCGAGAGTCCGTGCTCTCAGCGGCTGCCCTGTGTTGGGCACAACTGTGCTTCTCTGCTGCTCTAGAGCGTCTGGCTGACCCCAGAGGTGGCTCCGGGCATTCCAGCTCCGGTGCTCCCGCTGTGGAGCTGGCTGAGTCTGTGTCTTAGCCAGAGCACGGAGGCCGTGCCAGAGCTCATAGGACAGCTCTATGGTTTCAGTCAGTGTTCGCAGTGATTCCTGGCATCTGGAGACCTCTCTCTCTATTTCTTTTTTTTAAGTTTCCTTTATTTTATTGTTATTTTTTTTAAATGCAGTCGCCATACCCAATGTGGAAATCCAATGCCGTGTTCAAACTCAGGGCCCTGAGATCATGACCTGAGCTGAGATAAAAAATCAGACACTTAACCAACTGCACACCCCAGGAGCCCCCCAGAAACCAGTCTTTTTTTTTTTTTTAGATTTTATTTATTTATTTTGACAGATCACAAGTAGGCAGAGAGGCAGGCAGAGTCGGGGGGGGGGGGGAGCAGGCTCCCCGCTGAGCAGAGAGCCCGATGTGGGGCTGAGAGCCCGATGTGGGGCTCGATCCCAGGACCCCGAGATCATGACCCGAGCTGAAGGCAGAGGCCTAACCCACTGAGTCACCCAGGAGCCCCCCAGAGACCAGTCTTGAAAGCATTTCATATTACTGTGAAAAGTGGATTCTAGGGTTAAGTGGATTCTAGTCAGTTAAGTGTCTGCCTTCGCCCCAGGTGAGGATCCCATGATCCTGGGATTGAGCCCCACATTGGGCTTCCAGCTCAGCGGGGAGCCTGCTTCTTCTGCTCCCTCTCCCTGTGCCGCTCCCCCTCCCTCTGCCACTCCCCCTGCTTGTGCTCTCTCACTTTCAAATAAATTTAAGTCTTTAAAAAAAAAGAAAGAAAGAAACAACCATGATATTGGAATCCCAGATGTCAAAGATTAGAATAGCACTAGGCAGCATTTCCTAAATGCTTACCATCTGCCGTGCTCTGTTCTAAGCCTGTGGTACCTTCTTTACTCACAATGGCTTTGTTATTTCCCCATTTTACAGATGCAAGAACCAAGGTCAGGGATCCTGAGTCAGCTTGCCTGAGGTGGCTAGTAAAAGTGGGGTCTGGGACTGGAGCCCAGGCAGCCAGACTCTAGAGCCCAGAGTGTTCACCCTCCGCTGTCCATACTGAGCGCTCCCTGTGTGCGGCGTTCTGCTGAGCACTGGACATGGCTGGTGGATTCCTGGCTGCCAGCGGAGGGAGGAGCTCTTTCATTCCCTGATTACAGCCTCAGAGACGCTGGCCTGAGGTCACCCTCGGGGGGCACTCCTGAGGCAGGAGCAGTGGGGCTGGCCCACGAGGACCCGTCTCCCAGGCCTGGTGGTGAGATCGCCTCCCCTGGAGACACTCAGGCAGTTAGTGGAATGGGGTTTTGGTCAGTGGGGTCGTTTACCCCGAGATGCTCTACAGTGGACCTTGAAGCTTATACACCAGTAACTGTATCTGCCTGTTACTATTTCAAATTTGGTTTTGGAATCTAAGCAATATAACCAAATACTTCTGTACTTCACAAATTGGGAATTGCTGGAGAGCTACACATTAAAGGTCGGTACAGTTGACCGTTACACAGCGCCAGTTTGAGTCATGCGGCCCCCTTCACGTGGGGTTTTTTGATAAGTACAGTCAGTCCATGTTGTAAATGTCTTCTTCCTTGTGATTTTCTTAATGACTTTCTTTTCTCCAGCCCACTTTATTGTGAGAGTACAGTATGTGATACAGCGCACAGAGTGTGTGTTTATGTCATCGGGAAGGCTTCCGATCACCAGGAGGTTAAGTTTAACCTTGACCATCCTAGTGGTTAAGTTTTTTGGGGGGATGGTCAGAAGTGATTTGTCGACGTTGACTGCGTGGGGTGGGGAGTCAGTGCCTCTAGTCTCTGTGCTGTTCAGGTCTCCAGTTGTGCTCCTGGAGTTCGATCCATTTTTCTTATTTCCGTATGTTCCATAGTGAAATGATGGAGGCTTTTTCTCACTGAACGGAGGTTTGCTTTCTGACATTAGGAGACCTCTCAGCGAGTGGGGTTTTCACGGTCCCCCTTGACTTCAGCGCATTTAGGGTATCCTCAGATTTGTATCTTAATGTGTCTCCTTAGATAAGAAATGGATTTCTAGCAAGCGTTGGCTGGTCAGGAACTTCGTCCGAATTTCCCAGGTTCTGTATATTAAAGTGGGGACGTTGACCGGGGTTCGGTAGCATTTCTGTTCCGTTTAGATGCTTTTTGGTGGGCAGTTTGGCCAGTGTGACGTTAGAGAGCGGCCTCGTCAACTTGAAAAAACCAGAAGTAGCTTTTCCAGCGGAATTAATAGAGGGAGGTGCGGATTTATTTTCCAGGTCCCTTTCAATGCGGTTGCGCTCCGGATTATTCACGCTGATGTCGCTCCCACCCATATACTATACGCTGTGAATGCCAGCTGGGTTGGTCTTTGCAAGATCCTGGATGATGTCAGAGGATACGCAAATGGGCCCATCCTACTCGCCCAGACTCCAATCTGTGATTGTTTGGGGTTTGGTGAGTCAAAGTAAAACATGTCTATATACCTACTGAATCGATCCCCTTCTCCAACTGTATATGGCTGGTCTTGACCTTGGAACTGTCTCTCGGCTGGAGTGGTCAGAGTGTCTCTGGCTTCTAGACAGTGGGCCTGGGGGCTGGTGGGTAGGAAGGAAGCAGCATTTTCTCTGCTGCTCCCGCTAGCTCTAAATCTGGGATTTCTAAGGGCCTGGTCACGGTCTTCTTGTCACTTGACATTTTTTCCCTAGGCCATCTGTCCACCTGCTAGGGCCCTAGATCCATCTTTAGGCTGACTTTCCACAGGATCGGCACAGCTGTGTGTCCGAGCTCAAGGCCCCACTCACTTCTCCGCTTGGGTATCTCACTGGCATCTGAGACTTAGGTCCAAGACTGAGGTCCTAGTTTTCTCCCCAAATCCCCTCCCACGCTGCACTGTCTCCTGTTCCCGGGCCTGTGAGGAGTCCTTGGAAGATTCACTCTGGTGTTTACACCAGACCTCTGGGTCCACTGCGGCACCCCTTGCCTTCATTTGACACATCCAGGCCACGGGCAGGGGTGGGAGCTTGTGTCCAGAATCTGTCCGATGCCTCCGTCTCATCTCTTCTTACTCTGCCAGTCGGAGCCACCGCTGCTCTGCTGGGCTTGGCACTGTCGGGTGATCTGAGGACAGATGTGAGTATGTCACATCCTGGTGTTTCCCGTCACTCCGGCCCGGGCCTGTTGGCCTGGCACTGCTTTGCGCCCTTCCTCCTTCGCCAAGCCTGCCTCACGTGCAGTGACCCCCTGGCTCACTGACGTCAGTAAATGTCAGGGTACGTTTCTGGAAGGGTGCTGGACCTAAGTAGCCGAAAATGAGCAAAACCCTTACATAAGACATAGACAACAGGACTTGTGAAAAGTGTTTCCACAGAAGCTGTGTCACCTGGTACACACCATGAGGAAGGAACTGATGACAGGGAAAGGTTGAGTCTTTTGTGTGTTCCCCACGGTGGCTTTTCTTCCTGGCCTGGGTGTGCCTTACTTGAGACAGTCTGGGACTTCGGCAATAGCGCACTTCGGTTGCTCACGGCTGAGCAAGGGGAAGGGTTCCAAGAGAACTTCACCACTCCTGGCTAAGAGTGGTCATGTACTCCCATCCCTTGGAACTTTGTATTTTCAAAGTGAAACGCAGTTGAAGTTGAAATTCTTATTTTAAAAGCCATTCTACAATTCTCAGTGGGAGGGAGGTAGAATATCTTCCAGAAAGGATTATTTGTGTGTGTTTTGTGTCTTCAAGGAATTTGTAGAGGGATCGACATGGAGAAGAGACTTTACCACATCCTCACTCCTGTGCCCCCAGAGGAGCTGAGAAATGTCAATTGTCTGCTGGTCGGGGCCATTTCCATTCCACAGTGTGTCTTCAAGAGCCAGGTGAGTGCCACTCCCAGGGACAGCCCTGGAGGTAGCCAGAGAGCTCACAGCAACAGGTTATTGTGTGGGAACTCACACTTTGTTGAAGAGGCTGAACGAGGCAAATGGAGCGTCCTAGCGGCCTCAGAGGCTCAGGGCCATGAATGGCCATCACTGGTGGCCCAGAGCCCCATGGTGGGGCATTATCCCGGAAGTAGGTAATGGGAGGAGAGAGCAAAGGTGGTCTCCCCAGGACTCCTTCCTGACGACGGTCTGTGGTACACCTGTGAGAAGGTCACGGGAAGGTCATGTTGGCTGAGGACATCCATGTGGTGGCCCGGGGAGGCAGTGGATATTCTCCCCTCTCAGCTGCTTGTCTTAACTTGTTTGAGAGAAACGCATGCGCGCCCCCTTCTCTCCTGCTGGTCGATGTGTCTGTGCAGTGGAATTGGACCGAACGGCGGCAGTCGCCTTTGTACCTGGGCCCGTTGGGGCGGGTGGACCCCTTGTGGGAAGGGGAACCGGAGGTCTTAGGGGTGCAGGGACCTCACTTGGACTCTGCCTTTCCACAGTGTTTTCTGGGGAAGAGCTGCAGCGCCGCAAAGTCTGATGCGCAGGGTGGGTGTTTCCACGTGTTCTCTGTGTTTCTGTTTCAGCGCGGGCTGGAGGGGACGATACCTTACATCACCACCGATTATAACTGTAAACTTCCTGGAGCATCTGAGAAGATTGGAGGGAGAGAAACCGAGGAGACGCGTGAAGAGAAAGTGCACCCAAAACCCAAACTCTACCGAAAAATAAACTGATGCTGACATCGTCAGTGAGGGAAGGCGCTTTTCCCGGGAAAGCGGACCTCGTCTCCAGCCTGACGCCGGACTGATGGTGGTGGCGGGGAGTGGCGCGCATCTGTGGCAGACGGTGTCTCCTGTGCAACTCGTGGATCTGGAGTCAATTTAACTCTTTTGAAAGCTGCGTGACCTCGAGTTTTGCCCTAGTGTTCTGTGTGCTGCTTCGTACTTTCTGTCTGTTTTATTTTCTAAAGGGTCAAAGCAGCAGGGAGAAGTTTGTACACCATTAAAACAGAACACAGTCGGTTCCTCACAAAGCCCTTCAAAGACCTGGTTGTTGGAATCCGAATAAAAATAGGGAAACGGGGGCCACAAAAATGTACCAAAGAGGAAGGAAGGCTGGCCAGTGGGTTCGCAAGCATAACAGGATGCGGGGGCTCCCCTGGTCCTTGCCCGGCGATGGCTGACAGGCAGGGGGTCCCGGCGGCAGGGTCTGCCTGTGGACGGTTGCCACAGGGGGGTCACGCTCATCCCCTGCTCCTCTGATGCCGTCCACACCCTCGTTCATTCCCGTGGTCCAGTGTTCAAAGGTGTCCTTTGGTCTGTTCAGTGTAATCAGGGTTTCGTAGATAAAACGATTGGACTCAAGAGTCATTCATCTTTTGTTTTTTCCCTCACCTGATGACTTTATGCTGAAAAAATTGCTCTCAAACCCAGGACACCTTTCCTAGGGTCTCTTTAGAACCAGCTCGGTCCTCACTGACCTCTCGTCTTACTCTGAGGACGCACGTAGGCTGCCCTGGCACCGGGCTGTTTGGAAGAAGGACCATCAGAGCAGCGCCTGGAAAGCCCCCTCTTGCCTTTGACGTCTGAACCGGACGGAACTTGCACCTGCGGACGACCTGGTTCCACTTAGCACTTTCTCTGTGGGGTTGGGTGTGGGGGGGGCGGCTTCAGGAGGCTGGGGGTGATGCTGTTCTCCCGGATGGCTTTGAGGGAAATAGGGGAAACCCGTTCTTCATCTTCTCTCTGGTTGTCACAATTCTTGACCCTCCAGGGTCAGAGTGATTTCAGGAAACAAGAACCTTAGGCGGGGTCACGTCATTTGTCCATTTAAATCTGTGAGAGTCATACCAAGGTAGCGTTTCACACTCGTGGATTCAGCTTCCTACAGGCCACGTGGAAGGCTGGTTACTCGGATGTGGGTTTTAACATCCGTGTTCATTTAAACGGTTGGTTATTGTCCTGATTCTTCAGGTGACCCCTCAGCGTCTCAGAGACCCATTTTCCCACGTTCTCCCTGGAGCTCTGCCACCCCCCCCAGGGTTGGTTTCAACTCCCTAGAGACTGTTTAAGGTCTAACTTCATTGTGTCTTGTTTATATTTAAATTTACCTTGTGCCTGTTTTCTGTCTTGGTCTTGCCAAAATTTTGACAATCTGCCACCCTCCTTCCCTAGTTCCTTGAGTCTTCACAGTGACTCTCTGGGAGACACACAGTGACACACTCTAGGTTCCCGCTGCAGGTCTCAGGAGCAACGTAGGTGGTGCCCCCGGCAATCCGGTCCAGGCAGGCTTGCCTTGGGCCTAATTTCCTCCTCCCCTCAAGGGTTGTGCCAGGGGAGGAGGCAGGCCTTGTCACTAGAGGGAGCTGCCAGCCACTGGTCTGGTGGCCCGTGGGGCGAGTGCGGCCTGGAGCCTGCCCTTCCAGAGACGAGGGCTCCGGCATCCTGGAGACTTGGCCAGCTCGGGGGGCCTGGTCAGACCCGCAGCCGTGCCGTCCACCCTGGATGTCTGTGCCTGTGATTGTTGATGTCCGCAGCTGGGGCTTCTTGTCGTTTCTACCGTCCTCTGGTTCAGAATATGGTGGTAAGTTCCACCCTTGAGTTGTTTTTTTTTAAATTAACAAAAACTCAGTTGTGTGTATGTGTGTGTGTCTGAGTGTGTGTGATTTTCAAAGTAGCACATGCTTATTTGAAGAAAACAATAACATGACTTAGAACTTGACAGCCCTGGCTGCTGATTTTGGGGTTCTCTAAAAGCAGTTCTTTAGAAGGGATCCCTCATAGGAAAGATAGATGGGAAAGTAGGTGACACGATTCTTGGATTCTGGGGTTTTAGTTTGTAAACAAAGGTCAGTTCCGTGCTGAAGTGGTGGCCCTTCTAGAGCGTGGCCTGGGATGGAGAGAGGGCAGGAGGACAGTCAAGCTGGCCCTGCAGGTGCCGTGAGTGTTTGCAAAGTCAGTCTGGAGGAGGCCTGCGGGGCGGGGTGCGGCCTGGGCTGGAACCCCTGGGACCAGTGGCTGCTTCCCTGCGGCACGGGGGGATTTGAGCCCGAGGCGGGAGCACCCACTCGTGCAGGCCCAGGTTCATGTGCTTGTGCCGGAGGGTGTTGTGTTTTTATTTTCATTGTCTAGTTGGGAGTTTTATCCCTCAGGTTTGGACACGGCAATACAGTGGTCCAGGCAGCAGGCTTTGGTAGTAGAGCTCTGGGTCGGAACCCTGAGGGCCCGCGGGCCAGCCGTGGTACTTCGTGGGGGATACTCGACCTCAGCCTGCTGACGTCTTCAGAATGCTGGTGTCTGTTCCATGGGGTGCCTGCGTGGTGGGTGCGTGAGGACGGTCTGTACGTGGAGGGGCAGAACCCCATCTTTGGCTAAATTGTAAACTCTGAGAAGGCAGGGACCAAGATTGTATTCCTCAGTCACATTGGGACGACGAAGAAACTAAATGTTGAAATCCGCAGCCGTCTCACCCGTCCCGCCTGCAGGCAGGTTCCCTCCACAGCACTTTCCAGCCCGGTGAGCCGTTGTCAGGGCGCCCCAGCGGGCCGGCTCCGGTCTTCCGTTAGCCCCATGCCTGGCAGTTCTTCAGAAACCCCCAGGTAGCTGCTTTTAGAGTTGGACAAACCGTTTGCACGTGTAGAAAACGACTTTCAGTCACCACCATGTAGGTAACCCAGGTCCCTGCCGTGATGCTGTGTTGTCTGGTGTTTTTCTAAATTCTGTGTGTCTTATAAAATTGGTGTCCTGCCGTATGTGTGGTTTTTTAATCCAGCTCTTTTCACTTCACTTGTGAACTTCTGTATCATTAAATATTTTTGAGAACATGCATTTAATTGTGTATTTTGTTACAGATACAGATCATTTTATTCCAGGGAATTATTTAAAACACTTGGGAGAAATTACAGCAAAAACTTTGGGGAAAACAAAGCAATGGCAGGGGAATCTGGGTGCCAGAGCGGAGAGGACAAGACACCTAGCAGATGCCTCTGCTCTTTTCCATTTCAGTATACATTTTTAAAGATCTATTTATTTATTTTGAGAGGAAGAGGGAGAAAGTGTGAGCGTGAGAGTGGGGAGAGGCAGAGGGAGAGAGTATCCCCAAGCAGTTTCCCCGCTGAGCGCAGAGTGTGACACAGGACTCGATCCCACGGCTCCAAATCACGACCTGAGCCGAAACCAAGAGCCAGACGCTCAACTGACCAAGCCGCCCCGGCGCCCCTCCTTTTCACTGTTGGGTGCAGTGGAAGTTTTTTGGGGGGCCCAGGCTGTAAGTTGAAAGAAAAGGCTCTGTCTTCTGTACCATCTTTGAGCGTGTACTGGGAGAGTTTTGCTGCTGGAGAAGTTCGAGTTAAAAGAGGAGAGCCAGCCCGGGGCCTGTGCCCGTCGCTGCCTCAGCAAGTGCGGGCTCAGCAGCCCCATCCTCGCTCTCCCCGCACAGGGCTGGCGGAGGCAGCAGGCGCTGGCCCCACCAGCCGGCCCGAATGGAGGCTGAAATAAATCTGGGGCCGCCTGTGCCGCTAGGGGCCTCTTCAGAAAGGCTTCGCTACGTGGAATGATTTCCAAGGCTTTGCCAGGGGAAGAATGGGGCAGAGGGGGGAGCCGGGCTGGCAGTCCAAAAAAACCCACTTGGAGGCGGGGGGCGGCAGGTCCATCTGGGAATCCCGGGAGCTGAGTAAGCAAAGTCTTGGGAGTCGGCAAACAGCTGAGCCGTGGGGCTGACAATGAGTCCGGCCTGGCTGGGAAGCCTGGGGTTGCCGTGGTGATGGGCGCTGATGCTCAGCGGACTGTGGCTTGGAAGGTCTGGGCTGAACGTCTATCCGGCAGGGAGAAGCCACCAAACTTTCTGACCTTCCCCCTTGCCAGGAGGCCAGCCACGGGGAGATGCTGCCGGCCGTTGGGAATGCAGAGACAAGGGTCTTCAGGGACTTGCCCTCCAGGGAAGGAGGAGGGCCCCCACCACGGCGGCCAGCACCGTGCGAAGTCTGCTCCAGGGAGCAAATGGGTACTCGGGAATGGAAACTCCACAGGGCGGAAACCACCAGCAAGGAAGCTGTGAACCGTGGCCACGAAGTCTATAGGTTAAAATAGCGCCCAGGGGGCCTGTGTTGGAGGCGAAGCAAGGTGGCCAGGCCGAGAGCCCCCGGTTCTCTGTGCCGACAGCTCAGCAGGAGAAATTCAGCCTGGAGCTGGGTGTGGGAGAAGCCCTCTGCTGCTGGGTCTGCAGCTGGACAGAGGCGCAGAGCTGTGGGTCTAGCATGCGGCTTGAGAGCCAGGCAAGGTGCCACCATGCCTGAGGGCACGCATGAATTCAGTCCCGACACAGCATGGGCCTCCGCCTCCCGGCTGGCTCAGCCTCGGTCTAGGAGCCAGTGAGTGTTTTGTGCCTCTTTGTCCAAAAAGGAGGGTTGACAGCCCAGAGCGGGAATAGATAGGCTTTGTAGCTCTCACAAGGGCCACCAAGGGGGCACCTGGGTGGCTCAGTCGGTTGGGCGTCTGCCTTCGGCTTGGGTCATGGTCCCGGGGTCCTGGGATCGAGCCCCACATTGGGCTTCCTGCTCTGTGGGGGGCCTGCTTCTCCCTCTCCCTCTGCCTGCTTATATTCTCTGTCAAATAAATGCATAAAGTCTTAAAAAAAAAAAAAAAGGCCACCAAGTCCCACACTTGCAGAATTAGTCTGAGCCCTGGAAGAAGCTCTCCCAGCCGGGCGCTTTTGTCCTTGTTAATTGGTAAGTTAATGAACTGAGGACATGGAAGGCAAGGGTTGCCCTGCCCAGCCAGGCTCAGCCGTCCGCTCTGATTTATGGGTGCAGATAACGTCCTGTCTTCTGAGAAGTCACAAGTGGGAGGCTTTCCGTCTCCGCCATCCAATTTCTGAAAAGAAGGAAGAGTGTGATCCCATGTTACGAATCGCTCTAGTGGGGGAGCTGACCAGCTGCGGCAGGAGGGCGCCGGGAGGGTCAGCGGTGACGGGCAGCTACCCAGCTTCCTCTCCGGGAGTGGGAAGGTGGATGGGAAAGGTGCCCCAAGACCATTCAAACGGTCACATTTGGTGCATTACAGTTGTGTCCCCATTGCTAGGATGGCCTGGAATATGTTCCCGGCCTTGTCTTTGGAGAAAATTCCTCCTATACCATCAATAGTTTCAAGTTCTCTTTTAATACATGTCACGACACGTTTTGGCCGTGGGGGGTCAGGAATGTGCACATGGAATCCGATAGCATTCCAGCACTCCGGAGTCCGAGCGCGGGCCTGGACACTCATTGGCCACTGACCTCTGTGTGCTCAAGAACACCCATTCTGGCCTCCACCCCTGCCACACCCTGGGTCAGCCCAAGACCTGGGAAGCAGGCAGTCATGGAGAATTCCTCCTAATACCCACATAGGCCCTTGACTTCGGGGTGAGCACCTCCTGCGAAGCCGTCTGCACAGCCAACGTTTCCTTCCTGTGGCTCCTCCCAGCAGAACTTACCTATCACGGCTGGTCTCTGCTGGGAGCAGCCGGAGAAGAAATGAATGTGTGCCATCCACGTGAGCAAGTCTGTCATACGAATATCCACGCCCTGGGGACTGATGTCCAGTTAACTCAAGGTCCATCACTGCTTCCTCATAAAGGGGAGATGATTTCCAGGCGGATGGCAGAGAATGACCCCCTGGTCTTCTTCAGTGTACACTTGATGGTGCCTTAAGCCCTTTAATTTTTTTCTCTTTTCTCCTTTGATACTAAAAAGACAACTAGTTATCCTTTTGATTACTTCCAAGTTTTAGAGTTTGATAAGATTGAATGTCATGGTTAGCTAAATTAATTTTATTGAATGCTTATGAGTCGTCAGACCACGTGCCAGGGGCTGGGGAGATGATGGCGAGCAGGATAAAGGCCCATCTGTCTAGAATCTTGCTGCTTATTGAGTGATAAGAACATGTAGACAGGAAATCGACAAGTAGATCGCGTGTTAAAATGCGGAGACGGTGGAGCAGAGAGATCATCCGGACGAGATCTCCCTCGCCTATCGCCAATCTCAGGGATTTTCCGAAGAAGTGACATCAGCTAAAGGGTAAACTGAAGTCGGTGGGGTCAAAAGTGGAGGTGGGGGAGGAATGGGGAGTAGGGGTGGAAAGGCCGGTTCTGGAAGATAGGACAGCAGAGTTGGGACTGGGGTGGCGTGGCGGGGGTGCACCCAGCGGGTACACACAGACTGACCCAGGATGGCTGAGGTGGCAGGTGCCATGGGAGGGGGGAGGGGCGAGGAGCTGGTACAAGGTCAGTCCAAAGAGAGGCTACCAGAGCATTTCACAGAACTTGCCTTTCATCCCTGGGGCCTTGAGAGTTTAAGCATCCTTAGCAAGGTAGGCAGAACCATCTGACTCGCATTTTATTTTTAAAAATTTTTTAAAAGATTTTATTTATTTATTTGACAGACAGAGATCACAAGCAGGCAGAGAGGCAGGCAGAGAGAGAGAGGGGGAAGCAGGCTCGCCACTGAGCAGAGAGCCCAACACGGGGCTCGATCCCAGGACCCTGAGATCATGACCTGAACCGAAGGCAACACTTAACCAACTGAGTCACCAAGACGCCCCTGACTTGCATTTTAGGAAAATCCTCTCTGATAGCAATTTGGTGAGTGGATTCAGAAAGTTTGAGGAGGAGAGAGCATGGCAAATAGGTCGATGAATCAGGAAGCCTCCTGCAATATGGGCCTTAAAACCGGCCTAGAGATAAAATGCATAGACACCTACCCACACGGGCATGTGTGTGCTCTGTTCTGCCTGTACGATAATCACATCTTCACTTTAAAATGTTCAGACAGCACGTAGGCAATGAAGAGACAAGTCCTGCAGTTTTCAGCTGGTTCCAGCTGCGTTTCAGATTTTCCTAGGAGTACACACACACACGCACGCACACATATCCCTGCACATGTCTATACGGAAAATGTCTTGAAATGGTAGAAAATATGCAGTTTTGCAATTGCTTTTTTCCAATTAATACTCTATTTTGGACATTTTAAAAATGTCGATATGGGGCCCCTGGCTGGCTCAGTCGGTGGAGCACGTGCCTGTTGATCCCGGGGTTGTGAGTTTGAGCCCCACGTTGGCTGCCAAGATTACTAAAAATAAATAAATACATAAATAAGCTTAAAAAAGATACTGAGAGGGGCGCCTGGGTGGCTCAGTGGGTAAAGCCTCTGCCTTCAGCTCAGGTCATGATCCCAGGGTCCTGGGATCGAGCCCCGCATCAGGCTCTCTGCTCCGCAGGGAGCCTGCTTCCCCCTCTCTCTCTGCCTGCCTCTCTGCCTACTTGTGATCTCTGTCCGTCAAATAAATAAATAAAATCTTTAAATAAATAAATAAATATTAAGGTATAGCCATATATATCATGAAGCCATTAAAAAGAACAAAGTAAATTTTTTAAAAATATTTTATTTAGGGCGCCTGGGTGGCTCAGTGGGTTAAGCCGCTGCCTTCGGCTCAGGTCATGATCTCAGGGTCCTGGGATCGAGTCCCGCATTGGGCTCTCTGCTCAGCAGGGAGCCTGCTTCCCTCTCTCTCTCTCTCTCTGCCTGCCTCTCTGTCTACTTGTGATCTCTCTCTGTCAAATAAATAAATAAAAAATCTTAAAAAAAATATTTTATTTATTTGGGAGAGCACAAGGTGGGAGGGAGGGCCAGAGGGAGAAGCAGGCTCCCCGCTGAGCAGGGAGCCTGATGAGGAACTTGATCCCAGGACCCTGGGATCATGACCTGAGCCAAAGGCAGACACTTAACCGACTGAGCCACCCAGGCGCTCCCCCCACTTCTTATTTTCTTTTTAAAAGATTTAATATTTAAATAATC